AAAGAGTGTGCCTTTAGTTGTGGCCCCTTTTCTTCAGTGCACTGTAATACTTTCTTTTGGGCATGCTGGAAATAGTATTTGCCCCCTCATGAGATAAGCTATGTCAATTTATAGATGAATAATGACATCATCCCAGAATACTGCTTGCAAATACCGTTACCTGGGATTAAGAATTGTGAACGCAAGCATACATACACATCCACACGAATACCGACACTTCTAAATAAAACGTAAAATATATGGCAAATATTTGATCTGAAACAAAATGTTAAGCGTTTTATTAAGTGATTACTAATGTAAAGACAAACATGATATGATATTATCAATTAATGGCTTTACGCAGTAAAGCATCTCCAGTGGCCTTTACAATGTGCTATTCTGCTATTAGTAGTTAATAACATTTATTGACTTAACGCTTTCTACACAGCAAAATACGTTTCAGCCAAAATGTCTATTGTTTTTTTTCCCTTGTTATTGTAACACTTCAGAAGGTACTACAGGCATGTGTTAGGGGACAGAGCGATGCCACTCTGAGTCTCTGTTGATGTGGCAGATGTGGCATTTGGGGACCCGGAGGGTTCCTGTCTCGGTTGGTGCTGCTGGGGGTTCATGTGGTAGGGAACATCGCCATTCATTCACACTGGGCTGTGGGCTTTTTTTCCTCATTAATTCCCTCACACAAGCCTCCAGTCCAAATATATATTCATGTTTTGGGCCCATCTCTGAAATTTTATTTCCGTTACGAACTTGTCCTTTAGCGTTTATTCAGTGAAGAGCCATGTGAAGGCACTTCACCTGTGCTTGACAATCAGGGGAAATTAAAATTAGCAACAGAAAGGTAAAGAAACTCATTTGTATTAGGCATTATGAATGTTTAATCCCAAATTTACTATTCCTGGAGTTAACCCTGTTGACATTAGCTGCTCGTACTGTATCAACGAAGTACAGGCATGAGATATTTTGGGCTTGAGGAATTAGTTAGAATGAAAACTCAGTGCCATGTAAAGAGAAGAGAGATTACTTGTAGAAACCAAATACCATGGCTTAAGGATTTTGTCTCTATAAACTTTTTAAACATTTTATAATTAGTAAAATATTAATCCCCTGAATGAAGAATAACTTTGCACAGAGGGAGCACTGTGCTCCTTAACTTTACTGACTATTGGGAAGACTCTCCTCATGAAAATTCTTCACAAATAAGAGTTTTGGGATTAGTATTTTCAAAGAATTTTCATAGGAAGGATCAACAAAACCTACTAACTGTTCAGCTAATGAAAATACTTTGGAACAAAAAACGGTTCTATTCAAGCAAAACAACCTCCATTTGGAGATACGCTTGTTATCACCCATCCGGGCATCGAGAATTTCTCCCGTCTCACACAACTCTGAAGACTCAATATCTTGTATAAAATAGATAAGAATTTACTGTGGTACTCTTCAGTTCTTTGGACTTTATTGAAATATCTACAGTTCATTTATACTGGAGGAAAGTAAAATGAATCCATGCTTGGAGTCATCCATAAAAACTGCTTCTATGAATCTTTTTGTTTTGACTGAGGACAATGCAATCATTTTTTTGTAGGAAATGTTACTTTTATTTTTTGTCTCCCAAATCTGGGAGATTTCCCAGTGTGTGGTTTTAGGGAATCAAGAACTTAGCTTGGATGCACATACTTTTGGCTTAGTCTTTTGACACAGCAGTGTTTTGGCTTGCGTTGCTATAAATATGGTAATGTGAGCCAAGGTTCCTGGTCATGATACCTTTTAAGAAAACTGCCAGTGATAGTGAAAGCAAGATTTACATTTAAAGAATGGTCAGGGAAAGAATTTCCAGGTGAAATTGTTATTTTAATTGGTAACCAGCAGTGTTTCCTTGAAATGAAATTTCTGAACTTCTGTTTTTCCTACACTAAAGGGCTATAGGAAATCAGTTCTTTTTTGTCATTGTGAGAATCAAAGCCATTAACTTAAGAATATTAAAATGCTCTTTTTTATTTTAATGCATGGCTTTTTCTGTGATTCTAGAGCTTTGTTCTTTTTGCAGCATATACTCTTGTGCAATGTATTGCATTATTGTCTCACACTCTAATTTACTTAGAATTGGCTGGAGTCTAAAAATAATCATCTGTTCATGTTTCTGTCCCCTAAGCTTAGCTATTAACTTGCACAATATAAGTCTGTCAAATGCAAGAATGATTGATCTAAGTAAGCTAAAGGAAAAGATGTTCAAATGCTCCCTGTTAACATGTAAATTACATTAACATAATCTTGAATTAATCATATACACTAGTCTGAAAATTGCCTGCCTTTTAATATAATGGGAAAGAAGCTACAGAGGAATTTTAGCTATGATTGTGCCGCATATTGACAAGTGTGTGCGAAATACAGTTGCCTTCTGATAGATGATTCATGTCCCGTCTCGGCTTCTAATTACTGCTTGAAGGTTAAGAGGAAATCTCCCGGGGCCCCTGAAGCGTGCCATGCTGTTGAGCCTGCAGAAACATCAGCACGTAAGCTGGCGTCCTTGGGAGGCGTCCAAGCTCCGAAGCCAAAATGTCGTCCAAGTGATGACCCAAGCCCAGCTCAGAGCACAACTCCAGCACGCAGCAGCCCTGCTTCACCCCTTTGTTTCTATGGGAATGAGGACCAAATGCACTGCATCAAGAAACAGCATCCTGGGATGTAACAAAGGGCGCACTGAATGTTTAGTGCAAATGCTGGCAGTGCTGTAATTCATAAAAACTGTATTTCTTTAAAGCTTAATAGCTTTGCCTTTAGAATACCATGTGGTACTAATCTCTTTTATTAGTTTATGTCATATATATACTAGAACGAAAGATATAAAAAAGACCACCTCCAAAAAAGTCAGCTTTTAAATTATAAGACTTTGCATTTTATTGGGAGTTTTGTTGTGAACAGGGATTATGTTCTGCCAGAATTGTTTATGTCTAACTGTACTTTCAGACAGACAAATAAGAATCAGCTGAACCATAAGTGGGCTCAACACAAATTAATTTTTCTGTAAAATAAACACTTTGGCTTGTGTATCACTACAGGGGGTTATAACATCAATGATGTCACGTTTTACTGGACTAGAGGAAATGATTCAGTTCGAGGTTTGGACACACTCCGACTGGCACAATATACAGTAGAAGACCACTTTACCTCAGTATCGGAAGCGGCATATGAGACAGGTAAAAACACCCTTCTAACACTTTCTAGGGACAGTTTGGAATATGGCTCTGGAAACAGAACAGCCTTAAGCATCCTGGCCTGTATCAGCAATAGTGTGGGCAGCAGGAGTGGGGAAGTGATCGTGCCCCTGTACTCGGCACTGGTGAGGCCGCAGCTTGAATCCTGTGTTCAGTTTTGGGCCCCTCACTACAAGAAGGATGTTGAGGTGCTGGAGTGTGTCCAGAGAAGGGCAACAAAGCTGGTGAGGGGTCTTATGAGGAGCGGCTGAGGGAACTGGGGTTGTTTAGTCTGGAGAAGAGGAGGCTGAGGGGAGACCTCATTGCTCTCTACAACTACCTGAAAGGGGGTTGTCGCGACATGGGTGTTGGTCTCTTCTCCTAAGTAACTAGTGATAGGATGAGAGGAAATGGCCTCAAGCTGCGCCAGGGGAGGTTTAGATTGGATATTAGGAAAAATTTCTTTCCTGAGAGAGTGGTCAAACATTGGGACAGGCTGCCCAGGAAGGTGGTGGAGTCGCCATCTCTGGAAGTGTTCAAAAAACGTGTAGACGTGGCGGTTCGGGACACGGTTTAGTGGGCTTGGTGGTGTTGTGTTGGTGGTTGGACTTGACGATCTTAGAGGTCTTTTCCAACCTTAATGATTCTGTGAACTGAGCACATTGGTTTCTCTTAGGATGACAGTTTTCATGTTCTGCTAGATTACATTCTTGAAACCATACATACTTTTCCAGATGTTACCAGTAGAGACCCAGCTAATGTAAAGGTTGACAGTTGTTGAGCATTTTATTGGAAGCTCTGCATTACCTAAAGAATGATAAACGAGAGAGGTACTACTTGTTGCACATAATGTCAGGGAGAGCTCTTGTGAAGGAATAAGAGCCTGTAAGTTGGGCATTTAAATTGGAGAGACACCAGGGACCCTGGGTACCCAGCTTAGAACAGTTCCCAGCCTTCCTGGAAATAGCCAGTCTGGCTTTATTAGGCAAGTCAAAAGCCTCTATTCAGCCATGGAAATTTCCGTGAATATGTTAGGTGTTTTTACAACTGCAAGATGTTGGGTTTCATGGCTAGTGCTTGTTGGAGTTGCTCTTTATCTGCGGCAGCCTCTGTCCAGCCTGGTGGGCAGCAGAGCACAGATTGCCCAGCCTGAGGCTCCTCTATCCAAGGAAGGGTCAGAAGCATTTTCACAGACCTGCTCTTATCCTGGGAACTACAGGCCTGTCAGCCTG